ACAAAAAGTTTCAAGGTCCAACAATTTATGAGTGGAGTGTTCAAAATATTTATGACTACCATAGCTAGATTTGAACAGCCTGTTTATCAAAATGACCCAACCAGTAAGTGACTCCTCCTCTCACTGTCTGTGCTCTTTCTCCCTTGGTGGCCCCCCACTGGAGGCCCATGACCAGTTTGGGCAAGAAGAATGATGCAAGCATGAGCATCACCCCAGAGAACAGTCTGCATGGTAACTGACTTTCTATATTGGGATAGAATTTGCCTTGTGAGGGTCCTCCGGGTGCCTCCCTAGGGCAGGGGCAGAAGACAAATAGCAACAGGGAAAGACCCCAATGCCAATAAAAGTATATGCCAGGGCAAAGGTATCATTTTACATTACTAAAATTTACTTTACTATTCTAACTGACCTCATCTCACTCAGAAGCAAACTCAGAAAATACACCAGTCTTTGTGCCAATTCTTTAACTTCATTTATTTTTTAGGCCTTTTGAGTCCCACAAGGCTGTGTTCAGGGATTATTCCTGGCTCTGCACTCAGGAATTACTCCTGGCAGTGCTTCGAAGACCATATGGGATGCCGGGGATCAACCTGGGTCAGCTGCATGTAACCCGTTGAACTATCTTTCTGGCTCCCAATTCTTTAATTCTTTAGATGTGATTTCTTTTAGAATTTTGGACACATTTATAACAGCTGGTTGAAAGTCTTTGGCCAGGGGAGGGGGAGAAGACACATGATGAGAAGCAGTGGGGACCGGGACAGGAGAGGCATAAAGGTGGTGTTAACAAATAAATATCGGAAGAGAGCAACAATCTGCAGTGATGTCTCCAGGCTGAGTCTCATCCAGGGCAATCAGGAGGGGGGTGAGAGAGTGTACCCTACCCACTCCAACATAGCCCTGGCAGCCAAAAATCTCCAGAACCCATTCACCCCCATGCTCATGGCCAATCTCCACAGGCTCGAGATGAGCTTCATCTATGAGAATGAATCTGCTGAAAAACTCAGGCATGCATCTTTTGTGACTGAAATTTTCAGGCTCTCAAGGGTTCAAGAATAGGCTTCCTGCCCCCATCTCCCTGTTCTTTTGGGAGCTGGGCACTCATGCCCACAAACTACCACTCACGCCACATAAGCTCATTAACAGCCATGATCCAGAGACTCACAAATTAATCTCAGAAGAGAGCATCAAGCTGCAGAGATGCCTCTGAACCCCAAAGTTATCTCCAGTTGTATCATCCTATTTAAAAAATTTTAAAATTCCTACTCTACTCCACTGATGTGCCAAGTGTAGCACACCACATTTTATGGGTCATAAAGTAGAAGGCAATCAATCTCAATCAAAAACAAAAATTAACACACAAGGCTCAACCTGTAACAACATGTTAGTAATCTCTTATATAAGGGGTTAGTGGCTCCAGGGTGAGATACAACAATATTCACACTTTCCTCTTAAGGAAAATTTTTGGATGATTTTTAGTGGATTATTCATAACAAGTAATGCAAAATAAATTATTTATGATCTACTTTGGGGGGAAACTAGGTTGTAGTGGGGAATTTTGAAATAACGGTGGTAGAAAGGTGTAATGGTGGTGGGTTAGGTGTTGGAATATTGAATGTAATAAATCATTGTGACTTTCTGTCACTGTCCTCCCATTGTTCATCGATTTGCTTGAGCAGACCCAGTAACGTCTCCATCGGAGACTTTGTTGTTACTATGTTTGTCATATCGAATACATCACGGGTAGCTTGCCAGGCTCTGCCGTGTGGGCGAAATACCCTCGGTAGCTTGCCGGGCTCTCTGAGAGGGGCGGAGGAATCAAACTCGGGTTGGCCGTGTTGGCTGCGTGCAAGGCAAATGCCCTACCGCTGTGCTATTGCTCCAACTTTATAAAAATAAAATAAAATTAAAAAATAAAATAAAGGTGGTATCAAGGAATGATAGAGCCAAATACCCAAACTACAGGTCAACAACACTGAAATCGAGAGACCCAAATTTACCTTTAACAACTAAACTTAAAAAGGTGCCTGTCAAGAGAGCAAGCTGGAGGGGTCGGTGACTACGGGAGGGAACCTGGGAACACTGGCGGAGGGAAGTTGATACTGGTGATGGAATTGGTGTTGCAATATTGTATGTCTAAAACTCAACCTTGAATGACTTTGTAGATCACAGTGCTTTTTTTTGGGGGGGGGGGGGGGGCGTCACACCGCTGATGCTCAGGGGTTACTCCTGGCTCTTCACTCAGGAATCACTCCTGGCAGTGCTTGGGGGACCATATGGGGTGCTGGGAATCGAACCCAGGTTGGTCACGTGCAAGGCAAACACCCTACCTGCTGTGCTATTGCTCCAGCCCCCACAGTGCTTTTTTTAAATTAACTTTTTTAATCGAAACACAGTGAGATACAGTAACAAAGCTTTCATTTCCCACCACCAATATCCTCCATATCCCTTCTGCCACCCCCCCCCACTTTTCCTCTCTCTCTCTCTCTCTCTCTCTCTCTCTCTCTCTCTCTCTCTCTCTCTTTCTCTCCTTTTGGGAATTATGGTTTGCAATACAGATACTGAGACGCCATCAGGTTTGGTTCTTTATCCACTTTCAGCACACATCTCCCATCCTGAGGGATCCCTTCTAACCATCACTGCCATAACAATCCCTTCTCTGTTCCAACTGCCATCTCCCCAAACCTTTGAGGCAGGCTTCCAACCAAGAACTGTTCGTCCTGGCCCCTGTTTCTACTGTCCTTGGGTGTTCATCTCATACTATGGACGGGGGCTGCAGAACTGAGGTGGCTAGAGGGAGAGGATGCTGGGGGGGCCGAGGGGCTGATCCACAGAAGTAGATTTAGGAATTTTGGTGGTGAACAATAGGGAATCACAGTGCTCTTTAAATGTGTGTGGGGGGGGGGAGGGGGAGATGGAACGTGTTTTTCCGGTGAATCCAGCATGGGGCCTCCTTCTGGGACAGTCCTTGGGGCGATTGCTCCCTGTGCCATGTTCTTCCTTTCCTGTTTCTTTCTGTGTTTTCGTTTTAACAGAGTCTTTGAGGCCAGGGCCAGGGCTTATAGTAGAGCACTTCCCTTGTATGTACAAAACCATGGGTTCAATCCCTGGCACCACAAAAAAAAAAAAAAGATGAATCTTTTCTATAGTATCATGTGACTTTATGAATAGTAGGTCCTTCTGACAGTGTTTGTTGGTGCTATTGTGTTTTGTTTGTCGGTTTGGTCTTGCTGTGCTCAGGGATCATTCCTGGCAATGATCACTCAGTGACCTCGGCCTTTGGACTTCAATCCTTCCCAGGAAACCTGGTGAGACTCAAACTCCACCACCCACCCTTCTGTAAACTCCCTGCTATAGGCCCATCCCCACCAACCTTTCCTCTATTAACATGACTGCATTCAACACTCAGGGTGAGCTAGGAATGCGGATGATGCCCATAAATGGGTGAGCAGTATATAGATATATAGAAAGCAATATATGTATTCAGTAGTGTTGGGGCCGGAGTGATAGCACAGCGGGTAGGGCATTTGCCTTGCATGTGGCTGACCCGGGTTTGATCCCCGACATCCCATATGGTCCCCCGAGCACCGCCGGGAGTAATTCCTGAGAGCAGAACCAGGAGTAACCCCTGAGCACTGCTGGGTGTGACCCAAAAAAAAAGAGTGTTCTATACAGTTTATATATTCATGTATATTCTGTAAAGACCCTATATATATATACATATATATAATTTCTTATTTTCTGTAAGTCACAGCATCTCATAGTAATCATTCTAAAATATTAGGGTGACAGGGTGTGAAGGGGATAGTCAGAGGTGAGAGGCCTCCAGGCCCCTGAGCTTTGCTCTACGAAGTACCCCTAAGTCTCAGACATCCCCGGGTCTTTTCCAGGATATTCAGGGAACATACTCTGGGAAATGGCTTTTTCTAGGAAGAAAGTGGTGAGATTTGAGAACGTCTTCTGACCTGCAAACCTGCTCCTCATTTTCTTCAGTACTTACTGATGAGATCAGTACTTTACTTCCACTTTCCAGAGGAGGAAACAGAGGTCTCCATGTTCAGGCCCCGGTGGGAGAGGAGTGCAGCCCACCTCATCCACCAATGTCCTTTTGGGTGGCATGTGTGGGCATCTCCAGAGGTGCCCATTAGCGCAGTTTCTAGCACAACAGAAATAGATCCAAAGCCCTGTTTTAGCTCTTCCCCCCCCCCCCCCCCAGAGAACAGACTAGAGATCCCCATCAAAGGAATAGGGGTGATGTGCACACCCACTCGCTGACAGAGATCCAAGTCAGCCCCTTCATTCAGGAGCCATCACCTCAGTCGACCCTACATCAAGGATGACCAGAGCAAAGCCCAGTTATGTCTGGGATGGGGGAGGGTCCCTAGGTCTGTGTACTCAGATCCCCAACCCCCATGGCACAAGCCCAGCAGTGTCTGAGGAGGATAGGACAGTATGTTTCCAAATGTCCTAACACCCTGACCTGCTCATGGCTCTACCCACTCCCAGTCACGGCCACCAACGAGACATATTCACCACAAAATCATTAATAAAACAGATTTTACTTCCACCTCCAAGGAAACAGTAAGGAAAGGAGCAAGGGCAGTGCGTGCAGGCTCTGTGCCGGCTTCATGGCAGGACAGAGGAAGCTAATTCAAATCCATGGCCCAGAGCATGAGGGGCACATGACCACTGTCTATTGGGCTGTGCACAGTGCACCAAGACCCTGCGGTGGACAGAGCTTTCTCAGTGGTCAGCCCCGGAATTGGGTGCCCCTCTGAGCTAAGGCCTCTCTCTGCAGTTGGGTACCCCACTAAGGAAAGTTCGAGAAGGAGGGGCTCTTCCTTGCACCACTGGCCCCATGCTGCGGTGGAGCAGGAAAGTGCCAGTGCCCCTCTGTCCCCCAACCTCTGCCGTGTCAGTCACAGACTTTAGACTCTTCCTGAATCTTCTCCGGAAAGAGGCAGGGATGCTCATCACACCCCCTTTGGGAGCGGGGCTCAGGGCTAGGTCCAATCTTTTGCCTGCATGGACTCAGAGGCTCCCCTGAGTCCCCGGAGCAGGCAGAGGGAGCCCAGTCCCTGGATCTCGCCGCGACACAGCGGGCATGTGGCTGTCTCCCTGAAGACCCGCCAGGCACAGTGGCTGCAGAAGTGCGGGTGGCCGCAAGGAACCAGGAAGGTGTCCGCAGTGTGGTGGAAGCAGATGGTGCAGTCCTCTGCGGTTGCATCTAGAGGGTGACAGCACAGATGAGTGACACGTGGCCTGGTGACCAAGACAAAATCCAGCAGAGGAAATGGTGCCTTTAAGTTTCAAGAACATTCGCTGGGAGAAAATGCTCACAATGAAATCAAGTCAGGGAAAGTAAGAAGAGAATCAGCAACATAACTAACATCTTGCAAATATGATTTAGGGAAAAGTGGAAAGATAGAACCAGACGGATAGCACAGTGGGTAAGGCGCTTGCCTTGCACTCCGCCAAGTCAGATTTGATTCCTGGTATCTTATCAAGTTCCCCGAGCACTGCCAGGAGTGATTCTGAGTACAGAGTCAGGAGTAAGTCCTGAGCATAACTGGGTGTGGACCAAAAACCAAAACCGAAACAGAAAAGGGAAAAAATGGAAAGGAATCCCCATGTGTGACTACAGACTGGGTTGGGAAACCTTCAAGCAGAGAGGAAGGGTGATTTTTTTTCTCTTTCTTACTGTCTTCTTTTGGGGTGGTTAGGGGAAGGGGGTAGAACAAGGCACTCCCAGCAGTGTTCAGAGGATACTCCTGGCTCTATGTTTAGGGATCACTCTTGGTGGTGCTCGGGGGACCATATAGAGGTGCCAGGGATTGAATCTGGGTCGGCCCCCATGCAAGGCAAGTGCTCTACCCGCTGTACTATCGCTCTAGCCCCTGGATAGCTTCTTAAAGGCAAGAACAGAATGAAACCTGTTGAGGAATATGCTCTTGCAACTTATGAAGTGAGCGAACATTCTAGAAGGCAGATTTTAGGGTACTTTGAGCTGTTCAGATGTCAGGAAGGGTCTTTGGGCCTGAGTCAGTGGGAGCCCCAGCATGACTTGAAAAGACTTTACTGAGCTCCCAGGGCCCGTGTCCACTAGCTGCCCTGGGACTGGAGTCTCCAGGAAGTCCCGGAGGCTGGGGAAGCCCCTCACCTTCAGGAGCTTGAGGAGAGTCACCTTCCACGAGCTGAGGCCTGGGTGTTGGGATGACGTTGGCTGTAGAATCTAAGACAGAGACAAAGACACTCAGGCCTGTCCAGGGCAAACCAAGTCCGGCCCCCACCCAGGGACAGTATCCATCATCTCTTCTATCTAGAGCTCTCCACTGCCCGTAGGGTCTGTCCTGGCCATTCCTCCCCAAGCTGAACCAGCAGAGAATCTCTGCACCAGCCCTTCCTCCATGCCACAGTGGCTGCCCGCCAACTCAGCAGCATTACCCGCCATTTTACCTAAAAGCCCATCAGAAGCCCCCAGGGTCAGGGAGACAGGGGCTTGTGACCCCTCAGGACAGCACATCAGAAGTGGCTCAGCACAGTGGTAACAGTGATTTTGAAAACAGGTATTTCTAGGGCCTGGACAGCTCCTACAAGGCCAGGGGCCACCAACACCAGCACAGCTGCAGAGGGGTTCCTTTAGGGACTTGCTCTCACATACATCCTCTCCCCAGCTGGAGGGATGGGTCTTATTTCTGCTCTCCCTGTGGGAATGTCTGGCCTCTCTTCTGCTCCTCTAACTCCTGCTCATGTCCCTTGTTCCCTAGTGAACTCCCCACCCCCAAAGTTCTTTACTTTTTTGTATTTTTGGGTCACATCCAGCGATGCTCCAGGGTTACTCCTGGCTCATGCACTCAGGAATTACTCCTGGAGGGGCTTGGAGGACCATATGGGATGCTGGGAATCGAACGCGGGTCAGCCTTGTGTAAGGCAAACTCCCCACCCATTGTGCTATCTCTCCAGCCCCCAAAGTTCTTGCTTTGTGTTAGCCCTTTAGCAGATGTAGTGGAACTGATTGTACATCCTCATCATTCTTAGGGATCAGGTTGCCATCGGTACTCCAGTACCAATGTTTCTGTCGGGTACTGGGCACGAGATGATGATGATGATGGAGAAACAGACCGAGTAGTAGTGAAGGCACGTTCTCCCAAAGGCACCAGGTTGGGGCTGCCAAGACTCTTTTCTTTTTGCTTTTTGGGGTCACACCCGGCGATGCACAGGGTTTATTCCTGGCTCTACACTCAGGAATTACCCGTGGGATGCTGGGAATCGAACCCGGGTCGGCAGCGTGCAAGGCAAACGCCCTACCCGCTGTGCTATCAACTCTGACCTCGCTCCGCCTCCCACAGGATTCAGGGAGTGTGCCGAGTCTCAGCCCCTTGCCTCACCCAGTAACTCGATGGCCTTGGTGGTCCCGTACACGTCCATCACGGCCCAGAGCGGGGCGCCCATGCGCAGGTCTTTGCGCAGCAGGAGCGGGGGACCCGAGTTGACGTTGGCGAAGAGCCAGCCGCGGTGGTTCACCCAGAAGCTGACCACGTTCCCGACGCGCACGCAGTTCTCGGGCAGCAGCGCGGCCCACGTCGGGCTCTGCTGCTCCAGGTCGGGGCACACGAAGGGCGGCAGGCAGGGCGCCGACACGCGCGCGGGGTCCAGGCGCGTGAAGCCCACGCGGAGGCCGCCCTGCCAGCGGCCCTCGTTGCGCAGCACGCGCAGCGCCACCCGCTCGCGGGGCCGCACCGGCCGCTGGCTGAACACGATGCCGTCGTGGAACGTGGCGCGCCTGCCCGCCACGCGCCGCCCCGCGTCCAGGAGCACCTGGGCGCCCTTGGCCTCGGCGTGGAAGCAGAGCGTCTCCGGGAGCGCCTCGGCGTCTGCGGGAAAGCGGGAGGAGAGGGGCTGAGTGCGCGCCCGCCCAGACCCCCGGACCCCTTAGAAAGGAGGGAGACTTCTGCAGCCCCAGCCCCAGGGGCCGCCGGTCCCCCACCCCACCCCTGCACCGAAGGCTCGACTCCCTGCCTGGACGCTCCCACGGCCCCGCAAAGCCTTCCCAGCCGCCCCGCAAGAGCTCTGGGACCCGCGCCGCCCTGCAGGGGAGCGCAGAGGCTCAGTGCGCGCCAAGCAACCGCTGGCCCAGGGAGGCAGGGGAGGGGCAAAGGGAACCCTGGGCACCTGTCTGTCCACGTGCTCCTCGGGGTTGAGGCCCAGCGGACAGAGACCTGCCCTCATCCTGCAGGCTGCCTCCCCAGGCCCCTGCGCCTGCCTTTGGGGTCACTCACTGTGGCTCTAATGGGCTGCAGCCTTCTATACACTCTGACCCAGGCCGCCTGGTGTCACCCCACCCCCTTGGGGAGCAGCTGGCATGTAGGTCTATCATCCTGTCCCCCGTGGGATTTCAGAAGGCCCTGACCCAACAGTTCTCCAGGGACACTTTTTTTTTTTGTCCACACCCAGTGGTGCTTGGAATTATAGGAGTATGAGTTAGTGGTCTGAGTTAGGATTGGTACATGCAAGGCAAGTGCCCAACCCCTGTACTATCCCTCCAGTCCCAGACACTCTGGGTGGGGGGTGGAGGGAGCAGCATCCCATAGTGCTAAGGCCACGTGGTGCCGGGATAGAACCCAGACCCTGGTCCTCTGAGCCATGTGCCTGGCCCAGCAGTCACTCTTGCCAGGCCCATTCGCAGATGGAATCTGCAGCTGGATCTACGAAGTGACTGACCCGGTGTCACCCCACCTCCCTCTGCTCCAGCTGTGTGCCGGGCTGGACAATCACCCCCGGCTGCTGGGGACTTTAGGAAGCATGGTCTGGCCTCTGGATCTCAGCCCCAGCATGTGGGGCCCAGAGAATCTCGGCACCAAGGTTTCCGGAATCAAGGGGAGCGAGGTCAGCTCCCTGACCCACACCCCATGGCTGTGCCCCTCAGCTGCCAGCAGGCTTCCCTCTGTGCCCCGCCCCAAAGCCTCCAGCTCCCCATCTTCTCTTCCCAACGCATCTGAGGTTAGGGCGGAGGACAAGGAAACTGCAGCTGGAAGATTATAGCAGCCGCACAGGTGTGGAGGTGGGGGTCACCTTACCTCCTCGCCCTGTCTGCCTCCAAGGAACCCAGAGTGTCTGGGATCCAAAACCAGCATCCACAACATCACTGCTGGGGTCAGTCCCTCTGCTGGGCTCTGGGTGCCAGCGGAGTGTAGGACTCCGCAGGCCATAGGGGCTGCAGCCTCTCTGCCTAAGAGGTTTCTGGGTCTAAGGGATGCACTGCTATGGGGTATGGAGCACCACAGGGATGTCTCACAGGTTGTCATCGTGTGCTCTGTCCACCAGTAGGGGGCGTCACAAGGCTCTAGTCCGAATGAGGAAACGAAGTTGATGGGGAAAAGACTTGCCCAGGGTTGCACAGCCTGATTTGGCAAAGCTGGGTCCCCTTAACTTCCAAACTCCATCCAGTTTCCGACCAACAGTCCTCCTTCTGCACAGCAGAGCCTGGAGGTCATTCCCCTGGATCCCACACCACTTCCTTTCACTGTGGAGTCCCCGCCTCTGCTACAGTTTTGTACCGTACCTACAGGCAATCAGCAGCTGGCAGCCTCGCCTGTGACAGAGTCATCAGGGGGCATCAACCTGTCCCACTCTGCACCCCGCTTCCCCAGGGACCCGGCTCAGGTCTGCCACTCACCAGCCTGGGAGCAGAACTGGGTGTCCATCAGCCCAGGTCCTGAGGGCCAGGTCTTCAGGTCCAGAAGGAGTTGTCCTGAGAACAGATTTCCAGCAGGGAGTCCCCTTGTGGACTGGGATTACATTACGCGGGGTTGATGATTAAATACATGTTTCGATCACAATTTCCAGGGAATTTCCTGTTAATTTCTCCTGGCTGCTGCAGTCCTGTCCCAGCTGCTGAGCTAAGGGGGTCAGGGCCAGAGAGGGTCTGGGAGCAGCAACGGGCAGCTTCTCCCTTCCTGCCGCCTGAGCGCTCATGTGGAGCAGGGTAGCTGCCGAAGCACACTCAGTCCTGATGCCCAGCCCTGCCCCCACAACCTGGGGTGGGGCGCAGCATTGGGGACTTTTATCAGTTCCCCCAGATGATTCCAAAGTACAGCCATGATAGGGCCTCCCTGCCCCAGACCCTAGCACACAGCAGGTGCAGAAGCAGACACTTTTTATTATTATTATTATTATATGTAATGAATCACCGTGAGGTACAGTTACAGACTTATACACTTTCGTGCTTACATTTCAGTCATATAATGATCAAGTACCCATCCTTCCACCAGTGCCCATTCTCCACCACCAATGGTCCCAGTATCCCTCCCACCACCCCCCAGCCCCTCCTACCTCTGTGGCAGGCATATTCTCTTTCTCTCTCTCTCTCTTGCGCGCTCTCTCTCTCTCTCTCTCTCTCTCTCTCTCTCTCTCTCTCTCTCTCTCTCTCTCCCTCTCTCTCCTTTTGGATGTTATGGCTTGCAATACAGGTACTAAATGGCCATCATGTTCAGTCTGTAGTCTACTTCCAGCACACATCTCCCATCCTGAATGAGCCTTCCAAGCATCATTTACTTGGTGGTCCCTTCTCTATCTGAGCTGCCTCTTCCCGCAGCATGTGAGGCTGGCTTCCAAGCCGTGGACGAATACTCCTGGCCCTTGTCTCTACTATCCTTGGGTGTTAGTCTCCCATTATGTTACTTTATATTACACAAATGAGTGCAGTCTTTCTATGTCTGTCTGTCTGTCTGTCTGTCTGTCTGTCTCTCTCTCTCTCTCTCTGACTCATTTCACTTAGCACGATACTCTCCATGTGAATCCACTTATATGCAAATTTCATGACTTCATACTTTCTAAACAGCTGCATAGTATTCCACTGTGCAGATGTACCAGAGTTTAAACAGTCATCTGTTCTTGGGCAGAAGCAGTTTTGCTGTAGTGAGTTAAACTGAATCTGTTGCTTCCTGTGCTGGGCCCCAGCCCTTGGCTTTTCCCCTCGGAGAGACAAAGGGCCAAGTGGAGAGCTGCTGGCATTCCAGCCTGGCGTTTCCAAAACACACCACAGGCCCTTCGGTAGGGTGCAAAGGATGGGGGCCCGCTCGGACCTACTGACTGGTGTGTCAACCCAGGGCCAGGCGGTGCCTGCCAAGTTCCCAGACCCTGAGGGCAAAGTGATGAGAAGTCAGCAGCAAGTATAGCACATGCAAAGGGGACGGTTCAGCTGGCCCAGCCTTGGGGGGTCCAGGCCAGGGCACCCCCTGGACTTTGGGTAGTACTGAGGCCCAAAGATGCTCCGTCCTCACTCCATACCCCCCACCTCCTCCTCCCAAGATCTTACAGCTCAAGCTGCCTTGAATGGTGCCCAGGGGCTAGAGTCAAGAGCATCTTGCTGATAAACCAACTACATTCCAAAAAAAAAAAAAAAAAAAAATGCTAAGAATGGAGTCTAGAGAAATCCAGCAGGGAAACCTTCAGACAGTGATTGAGGCGCCCCCTTCTGACTATTTTCAGCAGCACGGGGCAAATGAAGCTGCAAGTCCATACTGCTGGGTGGGTCCAGGCGTGTCCCAGTTGCAAAGGTTTTGGAGACCTCTGCACCTCCTCCCTGCACCCTGCAGAGGCCCACATCCCTCCCTCCCCAGCTCCCCTCTCTCACAGCCAGTTCTCCTGATACCTCATCATTAAAAAAGATGTTCCATGGTCCAGAGATGCCAGAAATGTCCCAAGAAGGGATTGGAGCCTTTCTTTCCCTTTCCGACCTTCAAGATGTCTAAGCGAGGACGCAGTGGGTCCTCCAGGGCCAAGTTCCGGATCTCCTTGGGTTTGCCGGTCGAAGCCGTGATCAACTGTATGGACAACACAGCAGCTAAAAATCTGCACATTGGGGCTGGAGCGATAGCACAGCAGTAGGGCATTTGCCTTGCACGCAGACAACATGGCCAACACAGGTTCGATTCCCAGCATCCCATATGGTCCCCCAAGCACCGCCAGGAGTAATTTCTGAGTGCATGAGCCAGGAGTAACCCCTGAGCATCGCCGGGTGTGACTCAAAAAGCAAAAAAAAAAATCTGTACATCATCTCTGTGAAGGAGATCAAGGGACAGCTGAACAGACTGCCCGCCGCTGGTGTGGGTGACAGGATGATGGCCACGGTCAAGAAAGGCAAACCTGAGCTCTGGAAGAGGTACATCCAGCAGTGGTAATATGACAATGAAAGTCATATCAGAGAAAAGATGGCATCTTTCTTTATTTTGAAGACAATGTGGGGATCATAGTGAACGATAAAGGTGAAATGATAGGTTCTGCCATCACTGGACCAGTTGCAAAGGAATGTGCAGACTTATGGCCCAGGATTGCTTCCAATGCCGGCAGCATTGCATGATTTTTTAGTGTATTTGTTAAAAAGAACCCATTAAAAGTACTTGCTTCCAGCATGGGGGTAAGGAGATGTGACTCAATAGATTTCATCTGTTATAAAAATAAAAAATTGCTCCTCAAAAAAAAAAAAGAAGGGAGGGGGTATGGTGCCGCTAGCAGGTCAATCTGTACCTGTGAGGTGAGTGCATCAGCAGCCTGATGGCACCTTCAGACTTCCAAATACCCCAAAATTGCTGCTGTGCCTTTGGCCAGAGCCCAAAAACCTGGGGCAAAATTTACCAAGGAAGTAAATGGCCAAAAGTTAGGTATGTGGGAAACACACCCACAAACCAACTCCGGCTCAGCTATAAAATTGGAGGCATGGCCTCTCGGGTTCCTGATTGAACTGCTTAATGGCCATGATCCCAGAGACTCAGAAACAAATCTCGAAAAAGAGCGACTTTTGGCAGAAATGCGTCCCGTCCCTGCAGTAGGTTACTGGTGCTGGGCCAACCCAGAGGGGAATAGGTTTCGTGCCTTGGCCTGTTCCCCCTGGTGGCCCAGTGGCTGCCATCCTTCAGAGGCCACTGGACAGTCAGGTTTGGGCCCCCAGTGACGAGACATCTTGGGCCTCACGGGATGGGGGTGGAGCCAGTCAAACAGACCCCAAGTCATCGCCCACGAATGGTCTCTCTGGCTCCTGATCAAGCTGCTTAACGGCCTTGATCCCAGAGACTCAGAAACAAATCTCAAAACCCAGCGGCTTTTGGCAGAAATGTGTCCAGACCCCTCAGTAGGTTACTGTTGCCGGGCCACCCCAGGGGGGATCCCTCTGCCTGCTCCCACTTGGCAGCTTGGTGGCCATCATCCTCCAGTGGCCATTGGACATTCAGGTCTGGGCCTGCAGTGACAAAACTTGCTGGGCCTCACGGGATAGGGGTGGAGCCGGGCCTGTCCTCCCCACCCCAACAAGACCCCAAGTCATTGCCCACGAATGGAATCTCTGGCTCCTGATCAAGCTGCTTAACGGCCATGATCCCAGAGACTCAGAAGCAAATCTCGAAACCCAGCAGCTTTTGGCGGAAATCCGTCCAGATTTAAGTTTTAAAATTTCGGAATTTTGAAATCACATGGCCCTACCGCAGCCATGTGACATCATATGTTATTCATAACCAGCAATAGAACACAAATTATCTACTGTTGTCTTTTCAGCAGATCTGAGTGTTGGGATAAAATCTCAAATAATAATGGTGGGTCTGGTGTCGAAATATTGAATGTGATCAAAGTAGAGAGAGAGTAATGTGGAAATTGTCTGCCCCACAGGTAGGGGGAGGGTGTGGGATGTGGGTATACTGGGGTTGTTGGGGGTGGAGAATGGGCACTGGTGAAGGGATGGGTGTTTCATTGTATGACCAAGACTTAGACCTGAAAGCTTTGTAACTGCTCTCCCGGTAATTCAATAAAAAAAATTATTAAAAAATGAAAAAAAAAAGTAAGGTGGAGCTCATGCACAATTCAATCAGCTAATCAGTGGCTGAATAAATAGCAGTACTCCTACAAAAAAGGGGGGGGGGGGGTTGGAGAGTGCTTCAGACCCCACCAGGCAGAGGAGGAAGTTGAGGGCCTGCCCAGGGATGGTGTCCCCAAAAGAAATGGGAGACCATGGAGAACAAGCCTGATCTGGGACACAAAAGCTGTGGCCACCTTCTGTGGACTCCCTGGGGGCTCCTCCATACACTCCCCTGGGTCAACCACTCCAGGCACCAGGCACCAGGCCCATCCAGCTGTGCTCAGAGCAGGCATCAGCGAGGGTTCCTCAGTGCCAAGCATGGAGGCGGGGTCTTTAAATATCACCATGGGGCAGGATATGGGGGGGGGGGGGGACCATAGTACAGCAGGCAGCATATTCAATCCCTGGAACCCCATGTGGTTCCCCAAATATTGCCAGGAGTAGTCCCTGAGTTGTAGAGCCAGAAGTAACCCCTGACTACTGCTGGATCTGCCCCTCTCAAAAAAAAGCTTATCATTCAGGGTCAAAGAGATAGTGCAGATGGTAGGACACTTTCCTTTGCATGCAGACAACCCAGGGTCAAACCCCTGGTACCACATATGGTTCCCAAGCACCCCCTGGAGTGATGCCTGAGAACAGAGTCAGGAGTTAGCTTTCAGCACCACCAGATGTGGCAAAAAGTAAAAAAAAAAAATAGGGCTGGAGCAATAGCACAGCAGTAGGGCGTTTGCCTTGCACGCAGCCAACATGGCCGACACAGGTTCGATTCCCAGCATCCCGTATGGTCCCCCGAGCACCGAGAGGAGCAATTCCTGAGTGCATGAGCCAGAAGCAACCCCTGAGCATCGCCGAGTGTGA